TGGGTGGGAGGAGGCGATCTGGCAAATATGGTTGGTTCCTTCATTTGGAGTCAAGACCAACATCTGCAAGAGTTTCATAATAGTTTTCATTGTGACCAGAAAAAAATTCCTCTGAAAGGACTATAAATATTGAATCATCCAAATACAGGAATATGACATGTCCAGCTGCCATAAGGTCACCTACATTGTTCTATCTTAACTTTGTTGTCATCATCCAGTCCATCATGCCTCAGAAGGCATGATATCTAACCACTGAAAGTGTACTGTTTACTCAAGATCTGGTCAGTCCAAGAGCAACAGTTTAGACACACAGAACTGAAGTAAATATTTCCAAAGATTTCTCATTTATGGAAGACCTAAATGTTCATTTTAAATATCCTTATATTCCAAAAGAAGAAACAGTGTGACACACATAGGAAAACAAACCACACTGTAAATTGATTTTGTAATTGTCTTTCTCTTTGAATGTTTATCTAATTGGCTGATGTGTACTCAGAGATGGCGACTTAAATGTGATTTAAATATACTTCTGGAAAAAATCACTGAGCACTCCAAATCAACAAAAGTCTGCCACCACTTTTAAAATTTACTAGGCTATGAAAACAACTCTCTGCAGCAAAACAGTTTTAAAAAACTTTTCTCCAGCAGGTGTGCTGCTCTCTTTTTTAAACAGCATTGTTGGAGAAATGGCTAATGTTCTTTAAGATTATTAAACATTTCACGAAAACAGCAGGGATAAGCATAATAGTAACAACTTATGTAAGAGTTTTTAATACAGCTTTGCTGTGTTTCAGTCTAGAGACTTTCATGAAAAAAATGCAGGACACAACATAAAAGGAAAATATTAGAATCAAATATGTTGACATAAAAATATACATTACATAACAATGTTGAAATATAGTTGAAGTTTTGTTCGAGAATAACACATAGAATTTCAGCTAAACCCTAACTTCATTGTTTAAAGAGAACCATACTTGGTCTTGCTAGTTTGGAAGAGCCATTCAAGTAGGTTATTAAACCAGCCTGAGGGTTCTTGAAAATAAAATCTCATGCACATTTTCACATGGAGTTGTCGTGAGGCCACTTTGTATCAATTAACAAAAAATTAGTTCAGACCTAATTCTTGAAGGCTTTGTTATCTTATATCCCTTCTCTGAATTCAAGAGCCAAGATGCCAAATATTATAATAAAGTGTCATACCAAAGTGAAGAACTGGACTTGGTCAACTATACCTGTTCCAAGTAATGTAGTGACAGATTGATATATTTGGCCTCTGTAAGCAGCTGACCTCCAACTCCAGTCTTTCCAACACGTTCTGAACCAGCCAGATCAACTAAATGCAGTTTGGAGCGTCTGATTGTTGCAGATCCTGGTTCTTTGCTTGAAATGTGAATGGTGAAAATGCAATGTGAACGAGTAGAAGCTTGATTCATTGGAGTCTGTGAAGGAAACAATTTCATAAAGTTCATATCCCATGCTCTAAAAACAGCCATTTTCAACTATTCTTTTGGCACGGCCATAAAGACAATATGAAAGTCATATATGCCCAACCAGGATTGTATATGTTGCATAACAAGCTTTATAAGATGGTATGTGAAGAACTGTTTCCAGTTTGTAGCTCCCTTTAAATATGTCAGGGCCTCCCACGTGGCCATATAACACCCATTGAGAATGGTTGCTTTAAAATGTCATCTGATTTAGGATGTTTGGTTTAAATTATATATTAAAACATATACAAAGTTTTATATACAAATTATTTGATTGGAATATTTGTAATAATGTAAAGACTAGCATATATTTAACAAAAATATATGCTAGTCTACACCTGAGAGAATATTTTTAGAATACATACCTAAAGACAGCTGTACCTGATACATCTTATATCAACCGTTTAACTTTCTTTTTCCGATGTGTAACCACAGTATCTGCAGCTTCACTCACTTACTCTGCACTAATTTTTATTTCAAGCTGAAAAAAATCTGATTCTTTGCCACAAGCTGAATGCTACATTTCACTAAAGGATGATCCACGTCTGTGGCCACAGGCACCTTATATTTAGTCTTGATTACTTGTATTTGTGCTTAATTTAGAAGCAAGCAATTTTTAGAAATAGAAACAAGTCTAGTAGTGTGGTCATTGTTAGTCTATTCCTCTTTTTTT